CGGTAATAGATAATTTTCCTATAGTGACCAACCTTATCGGTCTATTTCCTCTAATGGGGCCACCTTCACTTCTCCCTCCGAAGTTAACAAGGCCTTTATTAGTCTCTTTAAGGAGCTAATCTCTAAACCTTTACACCCTCCCAATGGTGCTGGTTCTCTTCCTAATGGTGCTACTATTCCCTCCCACTTCTCTTCTATCTTGATTGCACCTATCAGTGTGGAAGAAATTAAAAATGTGATTTTTTTTGCTCCGACTAATGGAGCCCTGGGCCCAGATGCATTTGAGTTTTATAAAGCTACTTAGATTGCGATTGGTAAACAAGTCTCTCATGCTGCTTTGCCCTTTTTTTATGTCCTACATGCCTAAGCATGCTAAACATTTTGCTATTACCTGATCCCAAAACACTCGCATGCCTCTTGCATTAACGATTATAGACTTATATCTCTAGGTAACTCTTTTTATAAGATCATTGCTAAAATTATTGCCAATAGAATGAAAGAGGTCGTGCCTTATATTGTGCACCCGAGACAATCTGGCTTTGTGAAGAAATAGAGCATCACTGATAATATTTTCCTTACCACTAAACTTTTGGGAAGATTCAACTTGAAAGCTAAAGACAAATACTTCTGTCCTAAATTTGACATCCATAAAGCTTTTGATTCTATTTTTAGGAGATTTCTATTGGAGCGGTTACTTACAAAGGGTTTTCCTCCTGTCTTTATCGACTGGATCAAAACTTGTATCTTTGATATTCATTTCTCTATGGCTATCAATGGTGCTCTAGAAGTTACTTTAAGTCCTCTATTAGTCTTAGGCAGGGCTGCCCCTTATCATCTTATCTTTTCACTACTATTATGGATGGGCTTTCAACTTGCTTTGAGGATGTGGCCAATTGTCAAATCTTCACTGGATTCTCGGCAATTAATATATTTGTAACTCACCTCTTATATGTTGATGACTTACTTGTTTTTGCTAAGGCTAATATGGAGAATGCTCAAACTCTAAAAGATGTTTTGAATCGATTTGTTACTTGCTCTGGTTCTATAGTAAACCCTTCTAAGAGTGTTATACTTCTTCTAAAAACTGCTCTCTTGATAATTGCATTTGTTCTATTCTTAATATCCAGTAAACACAAAGCCTTATCAAATACCTTGTCCTGCCTATATTTACTAAAAAGCTTCATCAAGCTGGTTTCCATCCTCTCATCTTGAAAATTACTATAGCTCTTGATGGTTGGAAAGCAAAATGTCTTTCATTCACGAGAAGAATTAAATTTTTGAGATATATGATATTCAATACTCTTGACTACAGGATAAGAGGCGCAATTATTCCTAAATCTTGTTGTAAAGCCATCAGTAAAATTTTCTATAGATTTCTTTTTTCTTGTGACGTCTCTAAGAAAAAACATCAAATTGTTTCTTGGAAAGACACTTGTTTGCCAAAAAAATATGGAGGTCTTAGTCTTCCCTCCATTGATTATCATTTTTTTTTAAAAAATAGACCTAGAAATTAACTTTCAAATAACAGGCTAACCCATCCCAACAAGAGAAGTAAATAGAACAAAAAATAAGAATTAACAACAAATAAACAAACAATAAGGCACCCCAAAACCCTAAAATATACATAATAGAGAAACCAAAGAGCTCCAAATAGAAATGACACTAAAAAGAAAACACAACATATATAAGCCCAAACAAAAATATAAATAATAGAAAATTAACTCCAGACATAGGCAAGAAGAGAACTAGAACCAGCCCACCAAAACTGTTAACAAGTAATGTAAGGTAACCCATAAACATCCAACATAATTTTTCACTTAAGGATAATAGGAACATTAGGAAGAAGTGTTTTGAAAGATCGAATGTTGATTATCTTAAAAAGTTAGTCTAACATAACATTAGAAAAATATGTGATATTTAGATTTTGATTACCCAAATTAAACATAGAGTGACCTTAACAAGCAGAGAATGGTCATTCATCTATAATAAGATATATGTCATAGGCACAACTAATAGACCTAAACTTAATCATTTTCAATAAAAATTATAGTATGACCACTCCAAACACAATTTACCTCATGTCATCGATCATTTACACCAACATTATTCACCATCTCTATGCAAAAGGACTTACCCAAGTTTGCATAATTGTCTTTTCTAACCACTTAAAAACCATATCATACTAAAGCCCATTTAATTACTTGGGAATGAACATTCTTTTTTGACATTTTTTTGCAAATAGTGGGTGTTGCTCAACTAAGCTAGACCTTACATTGTGTTTTTTCTCTTGTATGAATTTTCGTATAAAAATTA